TAAGGCAAAGCTTCCAGTTTATTGTAATGTGGTCTATTCACAATACTGAAAATAAAATACCTTTTTAATTGCAATAGATAGATGTGTATAGTGTGCATACACATATTGATCTCGTTGGTGATGGTTTGAGCTATCAAATTTGAGGCTAAGAACTTAGGAGTAACTAAGAAATCCTACATGGAAGCCGAAAGGAGGAGGAGAACGAGACAATTACACACGGTTATCTGTTTTCGACGAAGTTTCACCTTCCTGCCATGGTTCCCTGAAGCTAGAGTCAGAGCGTGCTCCTTAAGCTTGGCTATGGTCGCTTCTACTTTTCCTACTGTTGTGCTCCCAAGTCAGCAGTTATTTCTGTGTTTTCTAACTTCTTGCCAGATTGCTTCTTTAGATGCAGTGTAGGTAAAAAGGTTATCGACTTTCATGCAGTAACGATCCGGTGATACTTCGACACGGTGCATCCTGACTCCAATTTCGTTTCTTATTAACGTCATTCCTAGCTACATGGAGTACAGTGAGCTGATGAAATCGAATAATCTGCGTTGTTCGAAACGATGTTCTATGTTCCTATTATGTACTCTTTGTTAGAAAGAATTGTGCAAAGTTGTTTATTCGCTCGTGTCAATTTGTATTAGTGGACAACGATATATCTTGGTGTTGTGACTGAAGACTGCATAAAAGATAAGGAATTAAATGATAAAGCGCTTGGTACCAATCATACCATTAATGGATGCGCCGTGCATCTGACTTGGTAGGGCATGGCAGAGGTGGCTGGATATGTACTCAACCTATACAGCGACTCATGATGACTTAGCAACGTGTTACCTCAGTGTTTCCGTCCTCCTAAACAAGATTGTTTGCCAATCTTGGTGGTTAGCAAACATAGTTAGCAAAGGGACTGGGTTAAACCATCGATCCTGTGCGTATTGCCGAGCGTCCTTAGCTGCTGCGCTACATGAGCATGTGGATGCATGAAAATACGAAACAACGTATCTCTCAGCTGTTTAACCTATCAACCGGTGCACTACATAAAGACAGAATGGTATAGAAGTCCGTACGTTGTTGTTGTCATTCGCGACTTATCGTTCCTATACAACGATAGTCTCAGATTTTCGCAACTAACCCTGTATGCAAAAAATAAACCAGTGAAATGGAGAAATTATCAAGCACGCATTGGCACCATAAGAAGTAAGGACTAGTGTTATCATATAAGTCATGGTCACAGATGAGCTTAACGTGCAAAGAACAGTGACCCTCCTATGAAGAAAATCACCTGTAGGAATAGTTGGATCTCTTCGAACAACACAAGTCGACATTATAAATGAGCATGGAGTGTTGAGCAAAGACTAAAAACTGTTGATGATGAAGATATACCACGAAGGAGCAATCAAATCGGTGACATTCATATGCACAATGGTCTTGCACAATCCATGTGGTTATAGAGATAGTAGGAAGCTCCCTTTATCCAGCATCCTCGACATATTTGCATTAACTATGTAATATCATCTACACGTTAGTAGAAGGAGGCACTTTAGGAGTGTTCAAAACATATGTGTTCAAGCTACGGTTCAAAATTCCGTGATTCATAAGCAGATAGGGTGCATGCTACTACGTATAGAATGTTCTTTATACTGTCACACCACTCAGAGTTGATGGTGCCGGTATGGTCGCTACAGTTATCAGTTCTGTGCTCTCAATGATACCGTTGCTTTCTGTTTTTTACTGAACGGTGGATTCATGGGATCTCCTCACGATGAGTTTCTATTTAAGAATTTCAGCACTGCTGTGAGCGTGACTCTCACTACATCGCTGCTCCATGCTGGCGGACGAAGATTAGTGCTCCTGTTATCTCGAGTGAGTGCTTAGCCTTCGTGTACTGTTCAAAGTGCATATTTGCTTTAAGCTGTTCGTCTAATTGGTTTAGGGTTTAGCTCAATTTTAATGATAATAGACCTCCCTATTAGTGACGCATCCCATTTATTGTTGAATCTCCAGACAACTGATCGCAAAACTGGTGTACCCGAGTTTGAGTTGGTGAGAATTAATACTAGTTGTAAACAAGAGGACAAGAGGATTAATTTACAAAGCTATTTCGCACTTACTTCGAAACGTATAAATAATAAAACATCCGGCGGTGATCAATTCCTTATGGATGCACTACGCATTCGCCAATTCCCGGAGTATGGACGGTCTGATATGCCTGTGGTGTGGGATCAAACCAAAGACCACGTACGTATTCCAGGAAAAATTTCACTTTATCATTGGAGATGTATACATTGTAGTTTGACCAATGAACTTATTTCTGGTGCCGTTTCTATCACTGCATAGATAGACAAGCGTGTGATTTCATTTCATGAGTGTGATTTCATTTATGTGGACTATAGTCTGCACGTAGATTAGTAATGTTGGTCGAGTCCAAATTCTCCATAGTACTGAGAGAGAAGCATTGGAGCGATTCCGCTTGATTTAAGGAGAGTCAACTTCTACGAAGAAATTTGTACCTATTTTCCGGAAAAAAGAATGAGTCTTGAGGGAACGCAGTGAAGCTGAGCCAGAGTCTGGATGGGTTGAGCTGTCCGTGTAATTAACACGGTCACTACCACCGCGCTACAGGCTCCGTCTACTCTAAATACGGGAAAATTACCGTCAGCGTCGTCTGGTACGAGTCATCGTCATCGCTAAATTTTTGACCATCGCCAGACCTCTCACAACTCGTGTGTTTTCTCCTACTCAACTCTGGAGCGAGGCCAGTCATCACTATGACTTCTTGACCCAGATATTAATACGTAGCTGAAGTATTCGAATATGATTTTTCTGCCGAGCATGAACAAGATATCTACAACAAGTGTATTTCATTACTTTTGTCTTTGGTTGAAAAAATAACCGATCGACTGTTCCAAGTTCTCAGAATCGGCCAATATTTTTTCCTCTTGGCTAATGCTCCAAGTTATAAAAACAATATAATCAGCAAAGCGAGCGTAATATAGTTCCCTGCTATGGACCTTCATAGGAATATTATTACAAAATTTGAGTACACTGCAGTTACGTACCCATTACGTAAAAGTTCTTTAGTCCCATCCACGTCAATATAATCGAAATCCTTATTCAAGTGCTGAATCCATCCTCATGTTTTCCGCATAGATGTACTTCATTCAATTTCCTCCAAATTCTGCTAGGATCTTAACCTTTTTATTTACTGCCTATTCTTTTTAACAGCAGGGTATTTTGCGAAATATAACAATTATAATGCCGAGGATCCCGCATGGTGTGGTGGTGAATGCGTTACTCCCCGGAAAGGACAATAGCGCGTTCGTTCCCCACCGCAGACACCTGCAGTTCGGAGTTTTGCAAATATCTCACCATTATAATAGCTATACTTCTGTTAGGATCATTTGTGCTAGAGCTCCTACGTAAAGAATAACAGTTACATTATTCGATTATGGACTACTTGCGTGACGTGATACACGAAAGAGCCCGACCTGATTAATCGGTGCGGCCCTAGCCAGCGTTTCTGAAGCTTGTCGGTAGCTGCGTAACTTTAACCAAAACTTTAACATTTGTTATTAATACTACATGAACTGACATCACACGTGTCACAGTATGGAGATCGCCGCAGTAACCCATATCGAGGTTGGACAGGCGCCAGAGTAGGTCCGGCCATCTGCGTTATGAACGGGATCACTAGCACTGCGCTACCTTTTCGCTTTTACATTAATCTGTGCCAAATTCATGCACTTGCACATATATAACTCATGCATAACTTTTGTTCCTGTTCAAAACGTAGAGCTTCTCCTCACTTTTTAACATAAATTATTCCCTAAATTATTTCGCTTTGTATCTACAGTCCATAAAAAAGTTACAAAGTAGAATACGGTAATTACTTTGACGCGGATCAGTCCACTAATTGTTGCTTCCACGAAACTTTATTTATCCAAAATAACATAGCATTTGAAAAAATGAACCATAAACTTGTGCAACTAAAAAAAGTATTTAGACAGTAAAGAACATGAATGATAAATTTAGAAAAACATTTCAAAAAGAGTTACCACCAACAACTAAAGTTAGAAGGAATGACAAATAACTAAATTTAGGAAAATATTCTGAAAGGAGAGTTAGCACCAACAACAAAAGTTAGCAAGGTGAATAACTTCCGTGGACAGGAACACCGCTTACGTAGGATATGACAGTATATTATCACCCTAGGCGAGATGACAGCGGAAAAGCTGAGCAGCAAAGAAGAACGCTCAATAGTTTCATAAAAAAAGACGACCAAAGCATAGTTATAAGCAAAAAAGAATAAGTAGTACTACACTATCGGTACCTGACAAAATTCCAGAGATCACAGTGTTTACGAGACCTGATTAATAGCGTGTACGTACGACGTCACCAGTTTTCACCGTTACATGTCATGAAATCACAACCGATGGTAACTGTGGACTTGTAAAGTTCCCCTGACATCGTGTAGACAGTATACATCTGTACGAAAGGGTCGAGAATATTCTCAATGAGACAGAGAATAGCCTACATAACAATACTACATTTTGTGACAATCCCACTCAAAACAAAAAAAACGCGTTGATTCCACGTCGTAATTGAAGCCTGGCATTACTACACTACTATCTCATTATGTTTTCATACGTTAGACGGCTAAACTGCGCTGAGATATTCTTCCCACAAATAGCATCTTTAGTCGAGGGCTCAATGGTGAGCAGATTTCGCAGCTTTCGCAAACTTTGCAGAGTACCGAGAGCTAAGACGCTAACTCGACCTAAAAACGGAGGTAGAAGTATCAGCAAGAAAATTCTAAACGTGGTAAATTGAGCTAAGAGCCGCATGTCGCGTACCTTCACACCGAGTGGTGAGTCTTCGTAAGCTGATTTCTTTTACTCCCGTCTTTTGCAATATTCGATTCTCGACAATTTCACGATCAAAGTCTTCTGAACAAGCGGATGTTATTCGATGGATACTAATGTCCAACCCATGTATCACTGACAATTCCGCCAAGAACAGACAATGTTCCAAGCACCATATATAAAGCGTTTGCTTGAAAGTCATTGCAGATCTCAAACATTTCGGAAGAATTTATATAAACCGCTTGATCGTGATGCATTGTATACCTCAAACAATAAAAAAAGGTAGTATACCATGCATTGCATAAAATGCAATACCATGATAGTTTAAAAATTTAACACTACAATATGCAAGTGCAAAAACAAAGCCCGTCTCCGTCCTTACGAATTATGTAAATTGAATCTGTAATAAATATTTCTAGCGTCCACCCAATGGTTTACAGCCTCATCTGGCTGCAAAATAGACACGTGTGTTGGATAACGATGTACAGCTGGATTTTTATCCACCCAGCAGGGTCTCCCAAGCTGACAATGAAGTCTACGTCTCTATTCAGAAGCCCAACAAAGAGGAAACCAATAGCAGGAATCACCACCATTTTGGTATCACATTATTCGGAAGGCACTAAACTTCGTTCTGATTCACAAAGCTTGGCAATTTCCTGTGGCGGTGACGACCAGAGAAAGACCGACTAGGTCGACCTCATATCCAAGGAAGCCACAATGGCTCAACCGCCAAAACTGCAGCCTCAGCACTCTACACATTCGGCGCTCCCTTCTAAGACGTCGTGTCATGAAACAATCGGTGACATGTGATCGAATCTCTCGTTGCCTAGGAAATCATTGAATAGAACGAGCACTCCCACGACAAGGGATTGTAGAGTCTCCCCTGGGTTTCTTTTGGCAGTCCAATTTCTTGATTGAATTGTGATGTTTGATGAGAATAAATTCTATACTATAATCGACAAAATCTGTATAAAAGGTGGGAAAAAGACCATATTACAGTTCATAATGTTGAATTTCTACCAAAAGATGGTTAATAGTTCCTCGTTCGTGGTAGATGGAACCACCTCCAGTAACATATTGAATTCTAATAAAACGGTTACAACAGAGCACTTTCACAAAGCCGAGGAGATCGCCTGAAAACTGCAGTGTCGATCACTAGAACTGGTGACGAGAATTTTATCAAACAATTCGCTACATTCACCAACTCCGCGAAATCCTCCAGAACTCCTGCAAAAATTTCACTGCCTCTAGAACTTAAAATATCGGAGAGTTGTTTCCAAAGAAGGAACACTTGTATCTAAATATCAAGAAAAGGATAAAGCTCTCGGCGTTGATCAATTCCTTGAGGAGTGTTCTAAGCATTCAACTTCATTAACCATCGTTGGGGTGGTTGAATGGATATCTTACCTTTACAATGGTTCGCGGTGTATCAAGCCAGTCCCCCCAGACAAGCTCGGTACCAACTTGCCGACCCTAGAGGGATGAAAGGCTTGGTGAGCCACAGGCACGGGAATCGATTCCAAGTGTGTTGCAGGGGGCCCGACTCCTGTGCCACACTTGTATCTTAGATGCAAAACTTGTAGGAATCCAATGGCTCCGAATCCGATCAGTAAAGTTACCTTTGAGGCGAATTACTGCACTTAAAATATAACGCTTGAAAAAGACCATTCGTTTAGCATCGACCTAACAATTACCCAACCTAAGAACAGTTCTGACATAGATAATCGAAACCAAAGTACATCAAACACTAAAGGGTTGTTGTTTGCTGAATCAAATACTTCCTCTATGAAATAGATATAAAACACATGATGACTTAATTTAATTCCATGTCGTCGCTTGTCCGTTTTTTTTAAAAGAAAGTAGAAAGTAGACTTGATACAGTCTTAGTCGCAAAGATAATTCCAAAATAAAAATAAGTACATGGAACTGAAGCTCACTAATTAAATAATAGGGAGCGCGAAATGCAGTGGTAGTGATCTCGTCCATTACTCGGATGGCTCAACAAATTCTGGCTCTGGTTCCACATTATTAAGCCAGTCATTCCTCAGAAGTCGAGAAATCGACATTCTGGGAAAAGACCACCCTCTCTAATCCATGAGAAAAGCTTAACACAGGTATCTCATTGTTCAAGGAGAAACGACTCGATCAGAGATCTATGACACTCATGATGAAGATGAAAATCTCCTCAAAAAGAAAAGCTCTCGAACGTACGAGCAAAAAGCGTTCGAAGACGCTCGCAGATTGTGGATGTGAGTAAAGAAATCGAATGAAAGAACTGTTAGGATCCACAAACTAGCGCATGTAATGAGACGTTATAATAATAGAAATGGATACTCGAACACCGTCTTTTTCTTCCATAGAGCTGGCCATTACACTAACGACTCTTAAATGACTTGAAGTGCTAAACAGTAAATAAGCTCAATGTCATGAATAATCCATTTCTAAATGTCTACTATTTCTAAATTTAGGCATCAGCAATTAAACCATAAAAGGATGAAGGGCTCCGTGGTGATCAATTCAAGTAGACTGTGCCATAAGTTTGATAATACCAGGCATCACAGAATGAATATTCTGACCATATATTGACTAGTGGATCCCACTGATTATCAAGTCAGCGTTTCTTATCTTTCCACAGAGGTCTGGTACCAACATGTCAACACCGGAGGGAGGAAGGGCCTCATCCGGAATGGTACCAACGACCACTTGTGTAATGTAGGGTAGATCGAACCGTAGCGTTGCACAACCTCTGAGCCTTAATAACTCTTCTATGAAGAATATGATTTAGCTTCAGAATTAAATGTGAAATTCCAAGAAATTGAGTGAATACGATTGTCTAATGTGGGAGAACAAACAGTACCAGGTAGTTCTATAACAAATGGCTCGCACTCGCGGATGATCAGACTCCGAAGCGGATCAGACGGCCGATTTTCGTTCAGTTCATCAAACTGTAGGTTGAACACCATGTTATAGTATGTCCTTACAGCAGCCTAGGAATTACGATAATCCTTCCCGGAAATATACTATTGTAACAAAATTCATGTCATGAAAAAAATAATGTATCGAAAAAAATATTCAGTAATACTCCACACATCTAAGTTTTTAGAAGAGATCTATTTGCCAGATAACTAAATATTTCCAACGTTAGTCCACATAACAACCGAACTTGAACAGGGAAACATCTAACATCTTTCACTAACACACAGTGAACGACGTTAACTTCTCAATAATCGCAATTCTTCGGAAAATTTAGTCGCTGATAAAACGAAAGCTTGGCAAACTCATTATGAAGGAAACCATGTTAAATCGCTCTGGGAGGATGCATATTTCTTCTAAAATCTAAAAACCAGTCTGTTTAAAACCATAACTTTCCGAGAATGTCGAAAGAAATGTAAACTTCCCAAAATGTTAAAGGAATCGCGGTAGTCGCAAATGTTAACGATACGCTTTGGGTAATTAATCTTTTTCCATTGGCGGAAATCCTACTCGTAGAAGTGCTCCGTTATTTGAGGTAAGACTCTCGCCAAAACAGTGAAAAAACAAAAGTTTTCGAGCTAGAGAGGATCAGGACCACATTTTTGTAGAAAAGTGAAGTACTGAACCTTTTCAACATAAACTTGTAGAGCCTACCGATTTTTGCCCAAACTAATAAAGTCCGCTTCGAGCTGAAAAGTGCTTAAGGTTGAAAGGACCAATTACCTTTAGGTACATATGTACTGAAATCAACACGCATGTTAACCAGAGTGTTATGCTGAAAGTAGCAATGATCTCCGATCATATGCAACTCAGACTCACTCTCTACTGGGTTACTTTGTTTTAACACAGCAAAAACTATGGATAGTCTATGAATAAACTGTAATATGAAATTCAACAGATCTAACGTATACAAACAAAGTAAACCACATAGACATGAAAACAGAGTAAAACCAGAACCTGTCTACTTCGTTTCACACTAACCACGAAACCTAGCGATTAGCTAGTGAGTTAAACCATCGGTAAATCAACGCAGAAACGATAGGAATATGTATTTTAACAGAATAAAGAAGCTCTTTTAGGATCGCTAGTTACCTCATGCAATGGCAGCCATTCACCGCGTAAGAACACTGATGCGTAGCCTAAATCACTGAACGAGATGTGCCGCAGTTTGCGAAAAGCACGAGATGCTAAATACTCGAAGAATGTCACAAGCAGCTCGATCTGACGTTCATCGTTAATCTTCTCTAGAGGGCACTCCAACACTGCCGAATCTTCCAGCTTAAACACAAATTTTATTCTAAGACGTCCGCAAAATTCTGTAAAAATACCTTCTCTAAAAATGGTTTATTTATATTCGAGCTTCCTGCAATTCGGCCTGTTGCGTATAAAATAATGATAAGACAAAGGTGGTGACACTTAAGCCGAACACTGAATAGCCCGTTCTGCTCAGCCCATTCAGAAACGATGAACATAACGCAGTCTAGACCTGCAGAAAAAGATGACAAATTCGAAGGAATGTATTGGCTATGACCGCACAGAACCATGAAAATCTAAAGCGCTATGAGTCAAAAAAAAGTCCATTAATTGCCCTCGAAGTACTTTACCGATGACAACATTAATGTAATGGATTGACAAAGGATATCCAGTTCAATTAGAACGGATTTCTTCGTCGATCACTTCTTCACAACACGGTTGGCCAAAAATAGGCTCTCCTAATTCTTTCGCTCGAGATTTTCAAAAGCAATATATATCATTTCACAAAAGTAATCAATCTGCTGTTAAAGCAATCAAGACATACCTGGATAATGTGCAGTGTAAAACCGTAGCTGATTACAAGCCTCCTTATTTAGAAACTGTGTAAATGAGTGAAATTTCGCCTTGTTTCCTCCACAGTAGTCAGATATGCGTCTTCTCAACATCTACAACCAACACGTTTTTTTATCAAAAAGGTTTGTTTATACGGAATAAAAACGGTTGAATTTCCGTTAATGAATAGCAGCATCATGAATAAATGTCCCAAAAAGCTTTTTGTTTGGGGAACAAACTAAGGAAAACTTAGGAAAAGAAGCCACCAACCCCGTAAAGCGGGGTAGTGAACTGAATAGAATCAATTTCTTTGAGAGCATTCTCTTGTCTGACCACAGCTAAGATGTCGTAGGCGATCCATGCGAACGATAACATCCTCTCTCGTGTTTGTTGAGCTCTCTCTGAACTAACATTATACAAATGGAATAATTTAAGAAAAATAAAGCCACAATCAGACTTTCGACTATCGAAGCCAAAATATCTGAAGCACAGACCTCTGAAGTAATGAAAAAATTACATGTATGAAAACGTCTCAATCGACACAATGCAAACAATCTGGTTAGAACAATGTTTGAGGTAGAACAATGAGGTTTTCATCAATTCCCTTGACCCACCTCGACATTGATTGATAATTCGATGTTTTTCATCAATATTTATTCGGCTAACGTTCCGACGTCTTCGTCTTCCTCAGAGCATCACATCGACAACGACTTGGATCATCGGCTCTGAGGAAGACGAAAACGTCGAAATGTTAGCCGAACAAAGATTGGTAACAATCTCGTGCTACCTTACCAATGAAACAAAGTACATTGATCATTTGTACAGAGATTAAATGGAAATAGGTTTATGATAAAATTTCGTTAGTTTTAAATTTATGAACGGCAATGAAGAAACAACACAACATTGCTTAAAAAATAAGAATGAGCAATTAGTGCTAACGCCAAAATTGTAATAATGACAAGAGCTATTACTGCCAAATGCGGATTCGTTTTACAAATAAGGTAACTGACCGTTCACCACTATTCTAGTAGGTTGAGAGTAAGCTAAGTGAAATACAACTACTCACCATAGCATATACGATAATAAGCCACTGCTTTCTGTTGCATTTTTAGTGTTGGTTTGTTTGCAGTACGATAGAAAACGTTCTCTTCCAGCGCAAAGTTCTTGTCACTCTTCTGAGTACATGACTCCCAACCACCAAACTCCTTGAAACGTTCACCCCACATCCACATGAAGAAATGCGTAGAAAAATGGAAAGCAAGAATTATAATAAACCTTGAAGAATTCTTCCCTGAAGTCTCGGAAAAGAGAGGTCACTTTCCTTTCAATGATCTCAGTTGTATTGTAAAGCGACATATCGTCCTGATCGCGATCCGAGATGCGATTCCTCATCTCTGAGATACAACCAGAAAAAATTTCTCCTTCCGTCTTTATGCCGTAATTCTCCATAAAAGCCTGGAATAATGCTCGATTAGCAAAAAAAAGGCCAGGTGCAAAATTCTAATTGAACTGATATTCAACCCGTAGTCGGCCGTTGTATTTTGCCAACTCTGCCTCAGCCTTTTCTTTATATGCTAACCACCCGTCCACAATGAGGTATCTGTCACACTCAATTTCCTCTTGTTCACCGATATCTTCCGAAACCTTGAGAACATCCTCGATTGCCTTGAACTCCCTTAACATTAGTCAAGCATAATGTCTTACAAAACCAACGTGCTTGAAATCACTATAGTTTTAGGCTAGTAGACCCTATAAACGATTAGAATTAGAAATATAATGGCTGCATAAAACAATTTAGTAAAGAGCAACAACATTAACTTTTCAGCGCATAAGTTAATGTGCGATTGTGATAGGAACATTTGCAGTGAAATGTATAGTTCATTAAGAATACCTGCGTAGTTATATTTACATAAGATTTCATAGAGGTAACGCAGAAGTTCTCGACCAAAATCTGAGGAAAAATGCATCGACGTAGAAAGAACAAAAGCTGAGCTTCCTCGTTTCATGAACCTTGGGACCATAAAATCATACATGTTCTATTGCTGTCTTTGTACTACTTACACATAGAAGAAAGAAAATTTTCAAGGAGCTAAGATATAAAGCCTTAACAACGATAGTCGATAGAACTTTTATTTTTAATATAGCAATAAAAACCAACCTATAAATCCTTCCCAAAAGCCTGGGACTACGGTAGATGGGATCGTAATCATTCGTACCGTGAAAATCTGGTCGGCGCTCGTTTTTTTCCGGAGGAATCTCTCTACCACTGTCCTGATCTGCACAAGAGCGACCGTATTTAAAGTAAACTCCAGGAAACCAGAAGGATCTATTTAGAGAAACCCATCAAATGGAGCATACCGATCGTCCATTCTCTCACAAGCGGATCAGGTGGTAGCCCGGTCTTTGCGAAATCCACTGCCTTCGATATCTTCACTGCCAAACGATGACACACCTGATAAACACTAAGATCACCTATACGAAGCGTAAAATCCGTAGAAGAACGTGCAATTGAACAGAAACTACAAAAACTTTTTCAGTTTAAGCGACATTAAACTACCATGCTTTTGCTTTAATTTTAATAATTTATGAAGTGAAAACCCTCCCAACGGTTCACCACCTCATCGTGGTTGGGAGGAGTTCCCGGATGTCGGGTTGCGATCTACAGCTAGAGGATTCATATCCTGCAGGGCCTCTCAAGCCGAGGAGTCCGGTGTTTCCAATAGGAAGCCCAACTAGGAGTCAACCAATACCAGGAACCGCCACCGTCCTGGCATCAAATTAGTCGCATGGTGGCAAATATACCTCTGATCCACAGGTGCTGCGACTGACTGTGACCGTGAAGACCTGGGGTAGATTTTGGTCAGGCTGACCTCAAGAATCCAGAGAACTACAGTGGCTTAATCAGCAAATCTCCGAGAAATGGAGATTATGCTGGAGCGCTCACTACGAGTGAGAACGGGAAATTCGAGGACCAGGTATGGAGTGAAAACAGATGGAAGATGGATAATTGGATAACAAAGAAAACAACCCTCCCACATCGCCATGCTGAACGGAAACTGATTTCATATGAAATTATGGAATTTCTGCGCAAAACTTACTTATTAAAGAGATCTCCACAATGAGATAGAAATATAAGATTTTAAGCCAACCTCAAACATTTTAGTAAAGTGGATTCTCAAAACGAATCCGTCTCATGAGACCTTCGCACACGTCAATCTTTGTAAACATCTTCAAGCACAAAAAATACAAATATGCTCCATAATTTTTTGAAGCCGATTTTCTAATGCCCGCCGCAAATATTTTGACCAAAATTCGTGTCAAGAACTGCAATCGAACCACAGCGCCGTTGCCTCCTCACCTGATGTAGTGGCGTTTATAAACTAAGGAAAAGTCTTTGTTTCGTGAGAATAAACACAAACTGGGCACCATTCACAAACTAAGGGACGAGAGAACAAACCGACTTCTATCATAACTATGCTACAACGTTACAAAGCACTGACGTAATTGCTCAACAGGACGATACTTTGTTCTAGACGCTGCTAACCGCGGCATGACGGGAATAATGAGGCTTTGCAGCTGGGACAAGTGAGTATATAAAGAACAAGTATCCAGCAAAACCGCCATCTTGTCGACGACATCGGCATTTTCTTAAAAAGTAATGGTGCAAAAGCTATTACGAAGAAAGCTTGACGAATCGAGAGAATGTAATCGATTGTAGATAAATTGGAAGAGAGTGAAAGAAAAACCCACATACGATGGGAAATTGGTCGACACGGATGGAAATTACATAAAAGATAAATTTTTAGGTGTGACTACGCATCCAACAAATTTCGTGAACGATATGAAGCAGAACAAAAAACATAGTGTCCTGGATAGTCCTTCTGTATGCTGAAAGAAAGATCTCCGAAAGATCACGAGCAACTGCCAAGGCCAAATCTCTATGTTCACTTGCCCAGCTCAACTGTGCGATCTGCTGAACAGTTTAGACGAGCACTGAGACTTCACGTCCACAGTTACGTACATCATCTCAATAACGAGTTTGTAGTGCTACGTACAGCTCTTTTGCTCTTGTTACCTAACATAGTGCCAACCGAAGTACAACTACATGGATGTCTAACTATAAGCAGTACTGGGAAATGAATGGCGTCTATCCTCTATCACCTTTACCGGGGACTCACGTACTCTTCACTAAACCAAAGGAGGCCCCTGTGTTGGCTTTCTTTCAGAAAAAGGCCTTTCTTCCTACGCCATCCGTATGGATGAAAGAAAACTGTGGGAAAAAAATTCAAAAGAATACAACCTCCATTGAGTTAACCACCTCCACTCACAGTAGTGGACATACTTTTTAAACAGACAGTAATACCTACCATAAACGAAAAACAATCAACTCCCTGTATCCTATAAAAAATTCACACTAGATAGAACTCAATTTAAAATAAAATTCACCTCAGAATTGATCCCATAAAGATCTTCTTGGAAAAGGTACGAAGTCGAAATCATGCCAATTGAATCTTGGGTAATATGTTTTACAAAAAACTCAATCATATCGGTCTTCTGTAAATCATAAGGGGTATACATCAAGAACAAAAATTACGATAAATGTAAGAACAAATACCAATGTTTCCTCATTAATAGATTCAGATTCCGGCTTCTCCGCTGTATAGTCGAATGGTTTCTCATTGTGATCCAGCAGGAGGTCCTCATCCCAGATTACGGTATATTCATCTCCATCCAGATCAGAACCTGGATACAGACAGTATCATAAAGTTTATAAAATGATTATGTATGGTTTACTCAGTGAAATAGAGGCAAAATGAACGGTGCACGTTCACAAGACGTTGGAACATCTTCAAAACTAATGTCATTAGCCCCATAGTATATGAATTCCTTGGACTTCATCGCCCTATATCAACACTACTTTTCAAGATAATCGCTCCAAACAGCACTATAGACAATTGGAAGCCGATATTTGATATGAACAGAAGAATTATGACTACACATCCAACACACCTGCCATTTCGTCGGGATGAGGTCGCGGACCATGCATTGGGAAGACGACGACATCACACAGGTGATGTAGTGCAGGGATGTCCACAGCAGTAAAAACTCGAACATCGCCAGCAACTATACATGGATTTTTCGTCAAAAGCACTTTGCCTGGAAAGTACTTTGTATTTATTCCACGTAGTATAAAATAGTACAAACTATCCAAAAATAATTAGTCAATACCGGTGAGAATTTTCTTTGATGCAGTGGGCGGTGGCATCTTCAGAGCAATATTCGCCGTATACTGGATGAAAACTTGTCCATACTGCAATTGACCTGTTTCGTCTACGACCCCAAACATCGTGCGTCCTTTCCCAGGAGGTATTTGGATTTGTTGTTTATGCATCAGTTTGGCTGGAAAGAAGGATTACAAACCCTCATTCCATGAATGAAAAAAACAAAAAAAGGAATAATAATAAATGAACGATACATACTGATTGTAAACTTGATACTCGCTTTAATAAGTGATCGGAAGAAGGGCTCAGTGCTGAGTTGGAATCCTGCTAACGCCGACAGCACACTTATATCAATACGCTGAGGAAGCTCCTAAAGGAGTTACCACATTAATAATGGTACAATTCATATTACAACGACCAGCACTTTTAGCCTACTCCGACAGTTATGCTCACGCAAAATGGATCTTGCCATTCCTCTTAGCTGATCATCGAGCAATTGTTCGATACGATTTGTAATTCGGGAATGACACTCGTACGACTGCATTTCGGACACCTAGGAAACAGTGGAGTTTTCCTCAATAGGATCAAGTTGTCCGCTGCAAATTATGCGGGACGGCATCTTCCTAGAGATTTTTTTAAAGCAACTTGTTGCAAAAGCAAACGCGACTTCCGATTTTAAACCATTATAAGTAGGTTTAGAATGGAAACAAAGGGGAAAACTGCCATTTGCGTTCGTCCTGACCACGAAGACCATTCATAGCAACTTATGATTGTAAAAGCACTGCTCCGAACAGTCGACGTGGAAGTCTCACAATAACGAAACGAAATAGACTCGATGACAGTAAATAGGTCTTGCATAACCGATGTTACTGTTGTCATAAAATTCTACACGGGATCAGAACATCGCCTCCTTCGTGTAAGAATTCATTTCTCATTGAATGGACAGAATGCCGCCAAATTAGAAAGAAAACCAAAACCATACTAAAATGCGATTCATCTACAACATTAGCCGGCTCTTGGGAACATGTCATTATTGGTCACATCGATGAGGAATAATCAAGGTTGCGAGTTTGAAAGTCATCAAGAGACGTCTGTCTTCAGAAACACTCGAGTTGATACACTAGCGTGGAATCGAACGAGCTACCAGCAACCGCGAACTCACGTCGGAACGGTGCAGACAGGCGACAAAAGAATATCTTAGAGAGAAGAGAGCAGCAGTTATGGCCGAAGCTGCAAAGGCTAGTAAGAGTGTTCGAAAAGCCCATCGAAATTACGATAACAAGAAGATTACTCTCCGACACTCACATCTTTTCAAAAACTACGTATTCCTACCTCTATACGAAATAAAAGAGGATCGATATGTTTCACTAACTATCCCTTCCGAAATCCAATACGTTGTTAGATCGGTGAAGAGTATAACAACACTACATCTCGACAGTAAAAGATCTACACACCTGAAGAACCTTTTGCCAGTCCTTATCAACACAGTAGCTTGGTTGTTCAAACGTTACCTGTCTGAATACAATAGAAGATTGACCGTGACATTTTTTGAGAAAGGTGACATTCATGGCATCGACAACGATAGCCCAATCTGCTTGCTGTCTGTCCTCTATAAATTCTTCACCCGAGTCATCTTAAACAAGTACAGCCATATGAGCAAACAGAGTTTCGAAAAGGATTCATTACGATGGTCCACATCCACACTAAGACTCATCTGAAGTGTCGCCAAAGTGCAAGAGACCTCTGTCTTACTTTCATCGATTTAAAGAAAGCTATCAAGTTAGATGACACAGAAGCAGGCAGGAAGCTGTGGACAATCAAGGTGCTCTTAATCAATATTTATAGATTATTCGTGAGCTATATAGAAAATTTCACAAGAAAAACATTATTATTCTAACACGGCATTAACATTTAGGTAACGAGGTTAGGTAAGACGATACCAACTCAGCAAAATTATTTACAACTACTCTTGATAATGTCATGTGAACACCGGAATACGACAATATGGGAATGAAAACCGATGCTCGACAACTATGCCACCTTCGCTTTGCTGATGACATCGTTCTCATGACACCAAACATTAGCAGGAGGAGCGAATGCTTGTTGACTTTGATAAATCTCGTGAAAAGCTTCGTTTTCGGCCAAACCTCACAAAAACGATGTTCACGAGGAACGGATTGGTTTCGTTTGCCTCATTCACAGTCATCGGAATGAATAAATGCTCAAGTAACAGCTGTGTAGATCAATAAATCAACATTATAACCTACTTAGCTCCACAGCTGAACAGGATAAGCTTGTGAGGCTTTCAAGAGAGTTGAGAATATAGGATAAAAAGTATAGGATAAAGCTCTCGGCGTTGATCAATCCCTAAGGGATGTGCCATGCACTCGACTTCATTAAGCATAGTTTCGAGGTGAATGAATGCATAACTAACCTCTACAACGATTCGGGGTGGTCTACTGATGTATCGAGCAAGTGCCGCCTTCCTTCTAGACAAATCTATTACCAATTTGCCGACCCTACAAGGATGGAAGGCTTGGTGGATCGTGGCACGTGTGTGTTGTAGGGAACCTCCTACCACTGTGCCACACGCACCCTTGAGGATTTTGGGAAAAAAAACTCACTTTCGCGCCCTCCATTTCGACTCCACGATTGTTCGTGTCTTGATGTAAGTTTCAGAAACCTGATAGCAAAAAAAGATCACCTAGTGTTATGGAACACTTCGTTAAAACGACACTGACTGACCGAAGCTCTGAGATAGGTTAACGATTAAAAATCGAAGACGTTATTCTACACGTCAAATTATCGAAATAAGGTGCGGCGCACACGTAATCTGAGCAACAACCAATGGGTAAGAGCCACTAGCGCCCAGATTCAACGGGTGTCAAACACAAAGGTGGAAGAAAACCGACTCCATGATTACATTTTTTTTCATCGAAATACGCGATAAGGAGAAATAGAAGGTCCAGTGGTGCCCGCTCAAGTCACTCAACAACTAACGCTACAACAGGTGATACAGGTGATAACTACGCTCAAACACTTTACCAGTCATAACGTAAACAATTAGCATCCACATCTGCGGATGCGTGTGGCGCAGTGGTCGGAGGCTCCCTGCAACACAGACGTGGAGTCGATCCCCGCGCCCATGGCCCACCAAGCCTTCCATTCCTCTCGGGTCCGCAAAATAGTACCAGGCTTGTCTGGGAGGATAGCTGCACTGGCTCAATACATTTGTAGCCCACCGCGAGTCATTGTAAAGGTCAGATATGCACTCAATCATCTCCAAACGATGTTCAAAGAAGTCGAATGCATGGTGCATCCCTAGAGATTGATCAACGCCGAAAGTTTTATCTTTTATCCCCATGTTTTTAGTGACATGATATAAGTTCATTTAGCCAGAAAGACAGATATCTAGAAATCTCGAAGCAACGTATTTTTCCAACGCATTTTCAACAGCGCCATGGTTTGAAGTATAGCCGACGGAAGCACTTGACTAGGTGTTTGAAAAAGTGGTAGTGGGTTGGTGAGTTGATATAAGTACGATGGACAGAGAAAAGGACTGCCATGTGTAGTGGACAGTAGTAGACTTCCGATAACTCCGCATAGTCATCCACCTGAAAGTGAAGGGAAGACAGGGAGCATCACAGCCTAATCAGAACAGTAGTACTGTGTTGAAATGCGAGGAAAAGAGGAACAGTACTACAACGTCCACAGATCCTTATGCAACCCTTTCCTCCACAGCATCAATACCACAGTTTACTGAAAACTAAAAAGGAGGAGAAGAACCGTGTATACGACTTTTTTCCATCTTCTTCCTCAAACGTGTTACGTGAACGGACGGAAGACTAAGAATAAGTGTGAACCGAAAACCTCTCTTGAAAAGTCCAGTGTAAACGTCTACGTGCGCTACATTGGAAACGGAAGTGTTTCTACGTCATTGATTTATCATTTCCTTGAAGAAACCTAAATCACTGTCCCAAGAACACAGCGACCGGGCGGATGTCAGATAGACACTACATCAAGACATTATGAATGCAAACACTCTGCAAAACATGGTATTAGATTACGGCGTTGCAGAAAGCATTACTGTTCAGACTACTCCAATACTCATCATAGAAAGTGCACATCGTTAGTAAAAGTGCGAGTTTATAGGTGAAGAATCACGCACACGTAGGAATTCCAAGTTCTACGTGAAAATTGTTGATTGTGGCTAAGAACTGCGACCAGAACGTAAATATTGTTAATTTTATGTGGAATATGTAAATTGAATGCAACTATAAACTTAAAATTTGGTAGAACAAATCCTCCCGCGCAGAATGCTTACAATGCTGGTAAAACGTTCTGCTAAAAAAAAAATCAGACCGCATAACTGTTTCTAAAGACAAATTGTGTTGAAGCATATTAAGCAAATCATACTACGTGAACATCGAGTCATTCTGAAGAAGACTTCTCAATAAATTCACTGCATTTTCACAGCTGCGGCAATTTCCGTGGTTCCACTCTCACCAGTAGAAACATCCCATTGATGAACTAAGTTCGCCCGCAAAAGTTGTTCGTAAATTACAAAGTCTATCAAGTAGCTCATTATAGGCAGCACCCTACACAACGTTTTTGGCAGACGAGCTATCGACTAAACACAAAAAGTACAGGAAAAAGTGCTCTAGGCGTCAAAATAGCCCAATGAAAAAAAATGTGCTGAGCTAGGCTCAATGCATTTTGTCCTAATTGCCTTTCTCATGCATCCATGAAAATCAACGTATAAAGGAGCACTACATTTTACCCTTTAATGGTTAATCCTTTCAACCTACCTAAATGTTGCGAATAAGACAAAAGTATTTTATGTACTTCGTAATTTATATTTTCTGTGCCTACTACTTCAACAGCCCAAAAAGCAATGAATCTTCAGCACATCCGCGAAAATGTGGAAGATCTACATGGCCCACCGAGAAAATACGACCCTGATTGCGGAATGTGCTAAATGATAAAATACAGTTTTGTTCCTATAGCGCATCGATATAATGAAACTATCTCTTTTTAAGTGCGTAAAATATGCTATCTTACACATTTACAACCAACCTGGTCAAGGATGGCGATAAATGGTTTGTTAAGAGAAACTGGGATAGGAGACGAGAATTTAACAACTTCAAGCGAATCCGTTGACGTGCGCATGGCTTTAAACCTTAAGGAAAGCTCATAGGACAAAAATTTGCTAGCTTAATATGTCATCCTTGCAAAAAAAAACCTACCTTAGTGAAACGGCACACCTTTACTTTATTACTTCTGATTTCTTTCTCATCATTTCAACATCTTAGGGCTCTTCGAACCATTCGTAACTACGTGAAATCGCAAAAAAAAGAGAAAGAAATAAAAGAAAATTGTATTCAACCCTCAACCAAAAAACCCACTCCTTTACCGCATTTATTGCATTTCTAGACTTTCAATCCGCTCTATTCCGTATTTTTAAGAATATTTTCTATGCTCTACACATGTTCTGTCCTTCCATTGTCCATATATTTTGAAACCCTTTCGTCTCTCCGGAAGAATATATGCCAACGTCACTGACATTCCCTCGCATTTTGTAGATGCGAATTCACTTGGTCCTCTTATCATGCATAATTTTGCTGACGGTGATTACCCATCTCACTGAACACTGACGTACGAGAAAAAGCACAGCAGAGATATTCGGATGGTATCAGGGTGTCCGCTATGGCCTCCGTCGAAATAGTCAAATGTTTCCTAACGACAGGCTAATGAAGATTAGGTAGAGTAAATGGCTTTTCTTCAAGATCATCGGCAATACCATCAGCTGAAAGGAATCTCAACCCACAAACAACAACAATTACCAATCAACAAGTAAAAATATATCGTGAAGATAATGAGCTATAAAGCAAATCGAGTATCTCATCTGTGTACAGTCATGCTCACTCATATATAACTTGCAAATGACTTAAGAACATTCAAAGGATTTTCTAAGGCACTGAACTTCCACCTTCTAAACCTAACTGCTTAATCATAAATTAACATATAAAATCTTACTTGATCTGACTAGGTCGGAACATCAGCTTAACATCCCAGCTGCCAAATTTCACTTTTGGTGGTGCTATGTTGAATCTCTTTGCCCATAAAGAAATCTCGTCCAAGACTGGATCAACTACCACTACACCTTTCATTCCACGAAAACGGAACTGTGAATAAAAATAATGTCAAAGATTACACTAAAAATATAAGAAAATATAGGTACAAGCACATAAACAACAGGAAAGCGAAATGTTATTTTCGGCAATGAAACTTCATATGTAAACGCGTACTCAGTAAAAACCTCACAATTGCTAAAAAAGAGAACGACACATTTATACTACAATGCCGAGGTTAACGGAAAGTCGATCTTGGAAACTTCATATCATTTATGTAAACGACCCACTTGGAAACAGCTTGGCACACAGCTACCCATCTGCATGTCTTTTGCTATTTCAGCAGCCAAATCCTTACTAATCATTCCTACACCATCGCTGAAGATATATTCCTTTCTGTAAAAGATTTACCAGATACTTAAGACGTTTATGCACTTCGGAAACAGTAAATTCCTTTTGTTTCATGCAGCCCGCATGATTCATCGTGAAGACAAGCATTCAAATATTAGGTATGTAAAAAGTAGTATTCCACCAAAAAAAAATTACTAGAAACACGTACCCTTGCTTGTTACTTCCTCCAATGAAATCGTAGCCTGTGAAATAGTTTTCTCTTTCAAGAACCGCGCTCACTTTCTGAAAGCCGCGAAAATTTCAGACAAAACGTCATATGACGCTCATAGTTATGTATTTTAACGAAATATAAAAGATATGGAGGTGACTTTTATGTGATCTACTACAAAAAAAAACTAAATTTGTTTCAACAACACTAAGTATCACAATCTTAAGCCTTTTATTTACTGCCTTTTTCTTTTTAATATATATCATATATATGTTATATATTATATGTATCATATATATAATATATTATAACTAAGCCTCAGCTTAACTGGGTTTAATGCCGATTTGGGCTCCCCAGATCAATCCCGTTGACGGGTGATTGCTGGTGGCAAAAAGATCGGTAGAACTAGCTGAGAGACAGGCAAGACGAAGGACCCGGATGGTGTGGCGGTGAAGTGCGCTACTCCCCGGTAAGGATAACAGCGCGTGTTCGTTCCCCACCGCATACTCCTGCGGTCCAAAGTTTTGCAAATATCTCAGCATTATATACGAACACTAAGTATCATTAACACTCACCCTGGTCTGAGTAAAACATTGGCCAAGGCGTGCCATTAATTTCGGTACACTTTCTATTTGTGTGAACCTTAAATATTATTCCTCAGATTTTGATGAAGAAGCTGATGAAGGACTTTTACACCCGCGCAAGCTTACAAGCGGTAGCAGAAAACTGGGCTATAAGGTTTTCCTGTATATTGAATCTACTAAACAGACGAATAATAACACAGGTAGGAAAATACAATTCGAATCGTTAAGAAATATACAACTGACCTTCCAAGCATTTCACGCGCGCCATCAATCTTGGGCTGCCATGTAATAGGTGGACTCGTGCCCGACAATCTACTATACTCAAGATACTGTGCTTTTGAATACTTCTCTAAGAAATACGCACCCGAGTCACGCATTTGCGAGTTTGAACTTCCCAGATATCCAAAATCACGCCCTGAACATCCGTTGTGACAAACAAATTAAAGTTCAAAGTATTCCATTTAATTCCGCAAAGTAAAAAACAAAGGAGGACTAACCAGCTACGAAAACCCCATCGCATAAGTATTTTCGCACCGTCATCCTAATCAGTCTCAAGGAGGTTTTATTTGTGCGCATGGGTAGATTGTCATCATCCCTAAACCAGGCAAATTTTTGGATGCCCTTTTGAACACATTAAAGTTTATTGACTCTAAGCAATACCACCAAAACGATGGCTACCATAATGTAAAGTAATGGATTTGAAAACCTGTATACCGTTCTGATGTACCTAAAAGTAACACGGATCATTCGCGTCCCATCATGGTCATACATTCGCAAAACTCTATTGGCCATGATTACTTCCGGTACTGTGTAGATGACTCTCGATGGAGTGATTATCAGCTGCAAAAACAATGACAAATGGATGAAGCTGAAAGACACACTAATGAGGACAAAGCAACAATTGAATGGAGAACGCCGAAAAGGTGGCGTGATCTCTTCGAACATCGAGCTTATTCGTCGTAGCAGCACCATCTTACCAACCTTCCGCACTTTCCTGTACCCATCTCTGATTTCTTGCCAGGACAACGTTGATTTCGCTTCACGTGAACGGTGGACTTCGTATTCACATATAAACGCCTCCAAGAAATTACTTTCACTTTTTTTAAAACATCCACTTAAAGTTGAGCATCATAAAAATAGCCATTGTGGGAACAGACCTACCTTAACGATGGAACCTATGCGTTTGCGCTCATCAATCATTGTTATTATTCGCTCAAGGGCACATAAACATGCCTTAATCAATGAAAAGATTACACAGAAAAATAAACTGCACAGGAACTTGAGAAAATCAAATTTTTATAGAGAAAAAGTGTTATCTCTTCGAAAACTCATGCGGCGATAATGATAACCTGTGATTATTAAGTGAGACTTAAACAAACCTCTCGTGCTTGAAGATAGCAGAAATTAATAACTTTGAGAAACGTCATCCACATGGTTTTCTTCAACAAAAGCTGGTCCTTCACAACTGCTCCCCTAGGAAAATTAAACACAGGTACACTAGACCAGACTTAAAAAATAGTCAAAAATATGAGCAATGGCAATGTAGGAACAGTAGTAAAAAGAAAAGCATACCTCGAAATCAAGCACTCAATGAGATACTTAAGTGAAAATCTACGCTCCTTCACTACATCTGATGGATTATGCTCAGCTCGACCGACGTCCTCTTTCCGTACGGTCTAAAAGCACTTCTTTCCAAAAATTACCTTTGTCAAAAAAAGTCATTTACTCACCTGTTTAATAAAACCAGTCATTATAGGATCACTTGTTACAGCGTTAATTTCTGCGCCCCCATTTTTTGTCCAATAGCCATAGAGACAGAATTTCGCGAAATAGAGTTCATCAACAACCTACAAGATAATGAATTATTCACGACAAAAACACTATTAATGTAATGCAAGCAACTACTTGTGATCACGTGAGCCCATAAAACCTTTGTATAGGAACAACTCAAAGTTGATAAAGACTTCAAGGAAGACGAAAGAAATCGAAAAAGCTCGCTTTGAGAACACGTACTGAGTACACTGGACAAGAACAACTTTGATTTCGACAAATGAAGGTCTGCAGGAAGTTTCTCACTGTGAAAGAACGTATTGACTATTTATACTAAGGCTTAATGAAAGTCGGTTTTAAAAAATACTGATTCGCTATGTACTAGGTGATATAATATCGACCATTGCAAGATCAATTACCACCATGAAAGCAGATAGGAAGATCATTTAGGATGGCAGCAAATCTACAACTGTCCTGTATAAAAGGACATCATCGAAGATGGAGACTTCGGCCGAGCAATGTCGCTATACTGGGTTCCAGTGGATGTGACAACGAACACCCACAACGCGATAACGACCGTTATAAACTATCAGCTCGGATTAAAGGAACTCTGAAGTGGGCCAAGGAGCCGAAACGTTAGCCGAATAAATCTTTCTCATCAATTTAGTATTTTCTTAATAATTCAGGAAAGTATTGATTATTTACATGAGTCAATGAGTCAGTTTTTAGATAATGTTCACTGTGTCCAGAACCTAACCAGTATTTGAGCATATGATGGAAACAGAAGTGTTCAGAGGGTACAGATCAATCTTCATATCATACTATGTCTAACTCTTGGGACACGAAAAAAAAACGGCGGATATGCGGGCTAGGAGTAAAACGAGACCATTATTAAGAATGTACAGCCTTCTTGATGAGCAAACACGGGTTGTTAACGTCAAGATTTATTCAATGCAACGCAGGCTGACGTTTACAATACTGCTGAAACGTCAGCCAGCAATCTATTGAAAAAATTTTGCTGTGAAGAACGCTCATCAAGGAATCAGCGTACTGTTGAACAATGACGAGGTTAAAGGAAAGTCCCTCCTGTGGTTTGCTACATTAACAAGGATATTGTTGACATGAAACTATCACAACTACAACCGTACTACTTCGACACATGACGAAGTGGAGTTACTAAAGGAGTTACCCGATGTAAAAACAATGACCGTATTCAAGTTTAAACTAACAAATTTCAACTCACACAGTGAACTCCATGAATTGCAGTTAAAACTTCTACAATCTGCAGATCTTTGCCTAGAAGATCCAAGTTTTTTGATTAATTAGTTCTACGATGTTGAAACAGCGATTTTCTGGGTCAACGAAACGTATTACTCTAGTTCGCCTTCGTTGAGGGACATATTTCAAACATGAGAGCGAATTAACAAGTTTTTCTTGCCATCGAGTTTGTTCAGGAAATGTTCAAAATTTAAATTAAACTTCAAAGTTCTTGAAAGTTCTGGTTATAAGAAACTTAGAGATGAAGGAATCTTTCGTAAAAATTATATACACTCTTAAGGCGCTAGAGCAGAGTCTCCTCTAAAAACCAATGAAGCTTAAAATTTCTCCACCACTCTATTAGTTGAGAAATTACCGTTTGTCTTCGGAAAAAACAGTTTCGCTATGTGAGGACCAAAGATCATTTTCAAAACACTAATAAATCGACAAACGAATCTCACATGAAGGCTCGCAAATTCAATACTGATGCCAGTCCGAAGTCGTAGACGAGACAAAATAGAGTAGATTTTCGAATCCTTAAAAGTAGAAATAGTTAAACAGAAACAATAGAATAAAAATCCTTGTTAATTTTACTGTACTTCTTTTCAACAAGAAATGCTCACTGACCAAAATTGATTCGTGAATTTCAACAGTAAAAATTGGGCTGTCAGAAAAAGCAAGAATATGAGGTATTTCATCCGAACTGCGGCCTCTGTTAATCGCACGAAATCTTTCATATTGTATCCTGTTCACTCTATGTCCCTGAATTTAAAAACCACATTTTCGGCCATTCGTTTAAAAATAAGGTTTATCAATGATATTGACAACAATAGCATCTTTTTAAAACTTTTACATGACCCGGCACCACAACTACTGTGCGCTTCCCAGCACTTCATGCATTCGATTCGTTATCAACGATTCATTCCACGCAAAGCTCTTCGAATATTTTGCGTAATGTTCCGAATACTGCTTAATGATTTCGTCTTCCTTATGAATGTCAAAGAATCCAGAATAAATTCTCCTTGCAATCATGGAGATGAACGAGCTAAGGCGTTCCACGTGGACTAGAGAAGAGAGTTGCGGAGGAACTCGAAGGATCACCTTGCTTCCTAATTGACTGCATCACTCATCGCTGCTCTATGCCCCTCTCAACAATAATAATAACTCAGTCGTAATTCGTTAACAATGGCAATTCAGCGATTACAATAACGATATAATAATACCACTTTGACCCTGGGATATTCGCAAAACTTGGATCCCAGGCCAGATTCGAATCCACAGTTATCCTCTCCGCTGGTCACATGTTACGCATTGCCCTACTGAGGTCTTTTCTGTATTCTCAGTATCATAGTCGTTGTATTTCACATCATATACTGCCGTGAAATATTGAAATATACAATAAATAAAAGCTGAGGATTGTGGTTTAATAATTATGACAATAATTCTCACAACTGACTTATTAACCCAATTACTGTTCAATAATTTACTATTTGCTTAATGAACATACACGAGATAACTCCAGGACCGGTAAAATGAAGACAGGTTTAGTTGAGACGATAATAATATATTAACTTTGTAGATCAGTACTCCCTCGGAAGAACAAATATGCATTCATTCACCTCTACGTTGCTTAATGTAGTCTAAGGCATACTTGGATGACCCGTGTTCACTAATTGTGCGGGTCCCAGCATGATTTCCACCTTTCTGGAAATTTGCTGGTTTAGTCGTTGTGGTTCCCTGGAGTATCAAGGTCGGTCCAGCTAATGTGCGCCTCAGGTCGTCACCACCACAGACAATCGCCGCCCATGTGAATTAGAGGGAGATTTGCCACCATGCGAGTAGTTTTAGTACAAAGACGGTGACGGATCCTGATATTGGTTCAGTTTTAGTTGGACTTCCTGATAAAAACGCCGAACTCATTCTCAGCTTATGAGTCGCTGCCAGGAGAATGAATCACTTCGTTGTACATCGCAGCCCGACACCCAGGAACACCTCCCAGCCACGATGAGGCAACCTTGTATAATAACAATCTTATATCTGCTCATCATAATAGCAAATTAGTAATAATAATGACAATAAACGAAGAATGACCGATGGATTTTTCGACGCCATTTTCCTTCTTGTGAGCTATGCCTTCGACTACATCGACCATCGTAGAGGTGAGCTAATGCACACCCGCTCTTCTGACAGGCTACGGATCTACCCAGTTAATATTACTCTTCTCTCAAATAAGCCCGTTATCGATGTACCGACCGTGGACTGATGAGAGCTTGGTTATCTCGGACAGCGGTACCAAACCGGCGATCACCTGCGTCACAGTACACCTTTAACCACTCCACTATAAGCATCCTAATAAAAAGTTATGGTGAACATCAACACAAAAATATTAATGTTAGATAATAAATAGCAATGGAATGATACATGGTTGTTGATGTCGTGTACTAAGCCTCGTCGTATTACCACGGGGCAATTGAGTTCGAAGTGAAAGCGCGTCCGGTTTCTTCCATTCTCATCACTGATCGCGTTGTCGACTATTATACGACGAATATAACTCAGACGAATCTAAAGATTATCTATCACCTAAAAGAAATCAAAATAGTATAATATGACTATTCGGATAAGAAAAATTCGTCTAAATAAACAGACTTTTTAAGAATACATCAGCTCTCGGTCTTCGAATGCGGTTATTTCAAAAAAACCGATGATTTTGTGACAAAAAGAGTATTTGAGAACTTGGTTCACTTCTACAGGGCTTTCAGTTTTCTCAAATAAACGGAAAAAAGTGTTCTTCACAAACGACATTTCATTTCTAAATTTATTTCAAAGCTCGGAAAAGGTAGAAACTCTGACCAACTGAGAGCAAAGTTAATTATTGTTATAAATTGTTAACAAAAGTGCAGCAACCGCAAACACTAACCACGCATTCGAGGATGTCACCGCGTTCTTTTGGTGAAAATGGCAATTCTCCAATCTTTTGATTTTTGAAATACCAGTTGTAATGGAGAAAAAGTGCAAAAAAATGTATGGGTTCATTAAATCTAAATTTGAAAAAGGATATAGTCAAAACTATTCATTGTTATCACCAAAAAGCCTTAAATTCTAATGGCCTTTATTCTAGTTACTAAAGCCCACTTAGATGTGGTGCGTGTGGCGCAGTGGTCAGAGGCGCTCGTCAATACACATGGGACCGATTCCTCCGCGCCCAAGGCCCACCAAGCCTTCCATCCTTCCAGAGTCGGCAAATTGGTACCAGACTTGTCTGGGGGATAGCAGCACTGGCTCGATTGACCGGTAGCCCACCACGAGTAAGCGCCAGATATGCATCCAATCGCCTCCAACCGATGCTTGATGAAGTATAATGCATGGCGCATCCTTCAGGGATCAACACCGACAGTTTTATACTTTTATCCTTTTCAAAGTTCACTACGAGCTGATGAGGCATGGTGCTTTCAATCTAAACGCGGCCGTTATTTTTACATCGCATGAACAGAAATCAAAATATGTAGGACACTAGATTAAGAACAACTCCGAAAACCCGGCTAGAAGTAGTTAAAATATAGCATCAGAAGAACACTTCTAATTTAGCGGTATATGGCACACACCTATATAATAAGAAATGTAAGAAAAGCTCTAGGATAAAGCTCTTGGCGTTGATCAGTCCCTGAGGGTTTCGCCATGCATTCGAGTTCATGAAGTATCGCTTGGATCGAATGCATATAAGACCTTTTCAGTGAGTCGCGGTAGTCTACCGATGAATCGAACCAGACAAGTCTGATGTTAATTCGCCGAATTTGGACGGATGAAAAGCTTGGGCAGCCACGAGTGCGGGGATCGATCCCACGTGTATTGTAGGGCGCCTCCGACCACTGCGTTACATGCACCATAAGAAATATAGTGGTTGAAAACATAAGAGTGAGACGAGTTGTAGGCCATTTCAATAAAAACAACTATTTACTATGTGGTTATTAGAGTCTTAGAAACACAAAGTACTTCAACGCAAAAGAGTTTTCAAATTACTACCTTAACTCACTACTTAATAATTAATTACTATATGAAATTCTTCTTTGTCCTAAATAACTACGGGAACATTGGAGAACAAAGACTAGAAGTCAACGTATGCTACCTTAAGGTTTAATATAAGATGAAAATAACAAAATGATAAAATATCATTGGAAATGAAGCCATCCATATATCTACACCTATAACACTAATATAGCCCTACCGACCCTTACTATATCAGATTCTGGACCTTTCACTTAGAAATCGCCAGTGACTTCCAATGCCTTTAGTGCTTCCATTCACAGCATTGAATTTAAAACAGAAAAGAAGAGTGGGAACTTACGTTAACTTGGTAATGAACGATTTGCTTGTTCCTTGAATTACAATATCCATCAGTTTTTGCGTCTGAGTGCAACGTTACTTACGTCGTCAAAGCATTTTAATGAAAATCCGTCTGTTCTAGTCAAACTTACTTCCTTCTTCGTTTACGAAATGAATATTTAACACATCGTACTGATCGTACAAGAAATCGGCGAAAATTCCTCGACGATTTGTAAATGTTTCTTCGCAGTCAGGTTGATTTGGATAAGACACCTTAAACAGTTGGCTAGTACATAATATTAATAATAATAAAGAGGCAAAAAGAAAGGCCTGCACAGTGTGGTGGAGAATGCGTTAGACCCGGAAAGGGCACTAATTCGTTCCCACCGTAGACACCTGCGTTCTGGAGTTTTGCAAATATATCAGCACCATTATGGCAATAATGATAAATTTAACTGATTTTTTACTTCCACAAATAATTTATTGATGGAGTAGCATAAGTAGAAACTTGTAGGATTACACTAATTCGATAAAGAAGCGAAAGACGTACGCGGTACAACTAAGCAACTCTTAAAAGTTGGAAGAACGAAAAGAAAAAGTTGCAGAAACATGGAAACGGTATTCGACTGCACAGCATCGAGATGGAAAAGGGTCGAACACCTAATAGAGTCATAAGTTCCGATAGCTTTTGAGCATTTCTCGAAAGCCAGAGTAGTAAAGGAGCATAGAATTTCAGAGTTTTAACTAAGACTTCTCTCCATCTTCTCAGCAACACAAATGATTAGTATAAAATGATCCTTCACTTCTAGATTTGTCTGAAACAAAACATCCCATGAACTTAAAATAACGTCAAAAATTCTCGAGATTTTCAATACAAGTGCATCAATATCAAACAAAAGACATTTAACACCATAGTTTCCTTTAAATAAAATCCTGGTTCTTCATTTCTCATGGTTTTTGATATAGTACGGAAATATGGAACTATAAAAGCCTCACTAAAGGGAAAAAAAGCGAGAAAAATACACTCTACAGGCCCCAGAGAATCAGAATTACCTCAAAATCCTTAGTTTCCATTTCAAAAGAAACAATGTTCACTATGAACTGGAATATTCTGGACTAAAGTGGCCATTATTTACGCAAAATTGAAGTCATATATGCCTCCGAGGTTCGGTGATGTGTAAAAGAGAAGCACGAAAAAATGAACACAAATGAACTTGAAAAATTGTCTTGGACTACTAACCACCCAGTGATTGATGAAAACGCCACCTTGTATGTTTCCAAAGAAAATAGCCGCCAGCGGCACCGCTTTATGACAAGACCTACAAAAAGAAGAATAAAATAGAACATCAGTGGTGAATGTATGAACCTAAGGGCAAATAAGCTTACAAAACATCCTGAGAAAAACATGTAGCCGAATGAATGATTACTGTTGATTTCAAAAAGTTTGGCACTCGACGAGATTTCTTCTGGATAGCGTTGAGAAATCGACGAATGGCAGGCAGCAACTTCTCCAGGAATGAAAGGCTTCTTATCTGAAACAGACAAAGTTGATATAAAACATCCATTTGTCACGTGAATGCGTTTTTGTTGAAAGGACGCCGAAACCTCACTAGGTTCTGTCGTTGGGGCCCAGATAAACTCAAGGCTAGCACGCCGACTTCTCCAATAAGTGTGATGGGTTTCACTGGGTAACATTTGCAACGATACGGTCACATATTAAGCTTTAGCATGCGAAATTAATAGTAACATCCAACTTTAAAGAAGTATTTCTCAGCTGTAGTGAGCATTACTGACAACAATGGAAACCAAACAGGTCTTCGCTTGCAAGAAACATTCTCTTTTCTCCTACCACGATAAAATCCTTACCTTGTGGAGCTAAAAACAATTTAGCGCTTTCTTAAACCTGAAAGCAAACGAACAAGCGAAATTCTGTCCAGTAGCACTAGCCAGTTTCCTCTGTGTGTGGTCCGGTTTTTGCGGCTTCATCTTCGATATATAGACCATTAACGCGACAGATCATAGTTTTTGCTGCAAGGCTGCAACGTTTCCAAGTCTTTTACTCCTCTATCAACCGAGGAATTATTTGTCCGTTGTCGAAACATCGGCATTACCACAAATGTATTAAAGCGCTCTGGTAGAATCCATTAGGAGACAATAAGCATCCATGTATGTACAAATGAGTGTGATTAAGTGCATGTGGATGCATTAAGTCAATCTGCAGTATGGTACAAACGGAGAGGTCTTCCCTGAATCCAACTGCGTGTTAAGAAAAGTATATGGTCCTCTTGAACCAGGTCCAATCATCTATTCACCAGTTGTAGAAGCGATACATACCCACGTGGTCCTTCGAACGAAAAGGATATGGAAACTTTGCACTAACGCACATAACAAATCGGGAAAATAGCGAATGTATTGGTTGTTGTTATATTGAAAATACTCAGTTAAGCAACCTACTTCGTAATTGTATATGAGAAATCTTTCACACCCAGGTTCTTCAACTGCCGTTTGAACAACATCTTCGAACGCGATTGCGAATCTTCTCAGGCTCTAGAACAGATGTGCTACAAAGCAAAGTAATAATTTTGCACAACCTCTAAAATCTCACCTCGTTGAGATATTCGCGTTGCGCTTCAGCATAACTAGGATTACTACCCGAAGCATCGCCAACCAGAGGTACTTCTAATTTTAAGCGTCCCTGTTGTAATTCCATAGCTGCACACTACGCACGAAGTAGAAACAGCTGATATCTGAATTATTCGACATTAGGAGATCCTAATTTGGTCTAAATCGACGAAAGCATGAAGACAGAACTCTCTGTGGAGATGACTAAACTACTGCGAACATGAAATACAAGATTCTGACCGCAGTACCGAAATTATGGCCATGAACTATTTAAAGATCGCTACACAATTTACAGCAGCTGGACAGCTGCGCATGCTCTTAGCGCCAACATTCAGAAATTACTATAAGTTAATGGACAAGACTTGATCATTTTCTCTGCAAACAATCTAAGCATATGCTGTGTGAACATGTTCGCGTATTGGAGTCGTACATGCAGCTTTGCCTCGCTCTCTTCAAAATTACAACAAAGGAACAAAAAGCACAAAACGACACCACCTTACTAAATCTTCCCTTGCCTTTTTTAATACGCCATTGAAATACAGTCTATGACTGAGGAGTTAAACAAACGATGACGACCCTAACAGTAAGCCAAGGGGCGGCGCTCTGGTAAAAGAATAAAGGAAATTGTAAGGAGCAAACCAACTACAATAACCACACTGCACATATACGTATATATGTACTATATACATATATATGTATATATATACATACATTGTGTGCTGTTACATAAGGTACGACCAGACAGAGGAAGGCGAAGTCGCCGAAATGTCAGTCATTGATCAACGAGAACAACAACAACAACATCTATAGCAACCTCGGGTCAGCTGAACAAGGGCAGTGTGTAGGAACGTTTCTACAGAGATCGATTATTATGCCGAGATTTTTAGAAAGTCGATCCTTTTGAGTATACACACATATGTATACATGTATATACATGTATATATGTATGCACATGTGCATACATGTGTACATACACATTTATATGTATATATCGGAACACTAAGACCAACCTGAAAAACTGCTGGAAAAGCGGTGTTCGAAACGAAATGGAGTGGAACTTCGGGCTTAAGGAGGCTTTCACTTGGCAAATCCTATTTTCTGCTCACTTCAATGAGAAATTATTTCGTCTGTAATAGGATGCTATCAAGAAAATCCATAAATAGACAGGACATAGGCTTCACAACACTTCCAGATGCTGGCAGTAATGTGGTTGGATAGCGGACCATAATAACATATAGCAAACAGCAGCATATATATAATGCATACATACAGAGAGATAGAAGCAAGATATCCTTTGTAATTCTGACCATCCCTAGAAAAAAACTCTAGTCACCTAGTTATCGTAAAATTGTCGCCCATCGTTGAAAACTCCAGAAACCCTGCCATGACGCGAATTTAAGCGTAATCGGCTATATCTTGCTTCCGTCCAGTACACAATATAAATAAGGATAGAGGACAAAGAGCTCGACTTTGATCGACTTACGAATACGTCGTCTATTCGAGCCCACTAAAATCGTAGAGGTAAGTGAACACCTTCTAAGGCCATAGGAAGGCTTGCGGGCCTATCGATCTACCAACCCAGTGTTTTCACTCTCCCAGATAATCACGACCTACAAAGTTTACAAACAAAAATAACTAGTAGTAAACCAACGGCCAGTTACCATTTATCTTATTACATTTACAAGACGCTGCAAGAAAATTTATTGCGACAATGAACAAGTAGTTGTTCTACAAAAGAACGGCTACAGATGGCCCTACCGTACATCCAAATGAAGGTCCACTTCAGCCCTGAGCAGCCAACATTTCGAATTTTGGTGGAAATATGGTCCTTAACAATGTAGACTACGTAGCTACATACATCCTAACAAGTTATACGAAGTAATTTTCCTCAAATAGAGGTGAACGAAACCACTGAATAGAGTGATGGAAGAGACCAAGTACTACTGATTAGGGTGAGCACAGAAAAACGAATATGAAATAGAATAGTAGCTTCATTAACTCTACAAAAGAAGAAATGGCTCAAGACGCTAGACACATTGCCAGGAAGCTAAGTGGTGCTTTAGGCAGTAGTAGTAGCAGTATACAGATCTACTCGAGTTTATAATGAATTCGAAAGGTAAATCGTCGACCTCTCGAAATCCCTCTAGGGGAATTTTCTTCTTGGTTCCTCCACCCCATATGGTTTCCGGCAAGTTTCACTCCTAAGTCAGTAAACGTATAAAAGTACGGGAATAAGAAATGCTGCACGGACGCAAAAGAAGAAAAAATCATAAAGAACGACAGCAGCAAACCTTTTCTGCTTCTTAAAAACTGGCGTCACTGGACATTCGCGCGCTTAGGAAGATCACCACTCTCGGCTGGTTTAAAGGCCCGGTCATCATCATTGATGGTTCCCAACTGGAATTGCTACAGTAGGAGATATTTGAATTTCTAATTGACCATGCAACAGTCGCTTCTGGCTCGACTATTTGAGCTTTAATTTAGTACTTTTTCTCAATCTCAATGACATGGGGTCCAAAACGGACAATTTGCAACTAATATCACCACAGGGTAGAGGCGCTGGTAGTGCAGTGGTCGATGGCGCTCTGCAATACGCATAGGATCGATCCTCACACCCCATGGCTCACCAAGCTTTTCATCCCTCCGGGGTCGGCAAATTGACACCAGACTTGTCTGGGAGGATAGCAGCGCTGGCTCGGCCACTGCGAGTCATTTTAAGAGTCAGATATGCATTCAATCGCCTCCAAACGATAGTCAGTGAAGTCGAATGCATTGCGGATCCCTCAGGGATTGATGAACGCCGGGAGATTTATTCTTTTCTATCACCGCAGCATGATGGACTCAGTGGAGTTCCCTAATATTGCTCTAACACGGTCCACCCATGTTTAGTAAAGACGAAGAAAAACAAAAGGCAAACTTCGACTGTTTAAAGACGAAGACTAGAGTAGAAAATTGTCTAAGAGCTAAACCGTCGTTGATGCATGGCTGTGCAAGAAATGCGACGAATGATCAATATGGTTTGTGAAGTACCTTCGACAATTGTCGTGTTGAAGGGCTTTTGTCTACGTGAGGTATTGCTGAGTACACAGCCAATGAAATATGCGCACCAATCAAACCACTGAGATGACTAGCAAAGTAAATATTGGAGAGAAAATCACAAAAATTTGGCAGCAGGAAGTCCACTCTGAAGGTTTTCAGTGGTAGCCTAAATCAAGAGAACTAATAGACTAAGCCTAAGCTCAAAACTTGGCCATCGCATCAAATGAGTGAAAGCCATCGCTGAAAAGTGTTTTCAACCGTACTTCTATCAAACCGAAGCAACACTCTTCCTAACTTTGTCAAGGAATAACTCAAAAATTAGTTTCTGTATGACAAATTCAATTGCGCTACACTGTTACACGGCCATTTCGAAGGCTCAACTACAATTTCTCGACATCTGGGCAACCAGGTGTTACGTTGTTCCTAGGCCATTTAGCGCTAACAATGCAATGTGTGCCTTTTGTCGACGTACAGTTCATCTACATACTATAAACACATCCATGCAACTCTTCTCAGCGATTTCCTAACTTCTCGAGGAAGATGGTTAGTACCCCTAAGCCTCGAACTTCATTGTGTTACCATAGCAGATTCAAAGTCTGTTTTTTCCCACCGTCCTAACGAGTAAACTCTTCCGAAAGTGACTTCTGCAAAGTATCGAGCGTAGAGAGCACCTTTTCATGGAAGACTCGTGATATATTACTTATGTTGGATAAGATGTGGATTTAATCCGAAAAATACAGCAAGTAAGATCACTGCCGCAAAATAAACAGAGGTAAAGATGGGCAGTGAAACCAATGCGCATGCCCTTTCTCCGCTATCCTGCATGCATTGAAGCAGTGTATGTAGTCACTTTTGTGTTAAAAATCAGCAAAGTCATGAAACAAAAAGTATTTGAGCATTTTGG